CGCTTCCCTTTTCAGAAAAAAATAAAAACCAGAGGTCGCTCTGACCGTTGTCGAGATATGCACTGATTTCACGAATTTGCACAAATGCAATGCTAACCGCTAAAAACCGTCATTGCATCGGTTGCAAATTTGGCCAGTAGGTCATTTTGGCATGTCAATTTACAGTATAATGGAATGCTAAAAATTGGTGGCTGACTAGGCTGTTGTCGACCATTTTAGAAAATTGGCAGTTTTGCAACAAATCTATCCTTAATGGCCACAAATCAACGTTGTTCGCTTCTTCAAACATATGCATTTAAGATTATTTTTGGGCGTCCATTTCCTACAAACTTTTAAAATCGGAAGTTGGCTTGGTCCTTGTGCAGATGAATTCAAAATGCCGGTATTTTCACAAATTTAGCACATGGCCTCAAAATATTTTGTGGATCGCGGTGAAAATGGCATCGACCGAATTAGACACACTCGAGTGTCATTTTCGGATTGTTTCCTCGCCCGATGGACAAACTTTGCACGCTTGCAAAAATCAATCAAATTTTGGAATAACTTTCAAATTCACTTTTCTTGACAACTGGGAAAACAACCCACAGAACTTTTAACGTGTCAAATGCAGCGGCTGAATCTCTATCGAATGAGATCAGTTTCAACGCGACCTGATCAAAACTGACAGAGAAAATAGTTTTTTTCGAGAATTTCTTAAATGGCAACTTGCTCGACAACGGTCTAATAAACCTGTGATTTTATTTCAGTTTCACTGACAAACAGGGGGGCAAAGCATCTAATGGGATGTCTTGCAACGTGCTAGCTTGGGTTTGAGCTTTTTGCATCGTCATTTCACCCAGCAGCTTGCAGCCCACTCCTGCTGCGTGCTGCCCACCACTCAGCGCATAAAAATCTGCATAATAAAAAAAAATTCCATGCAATCCACCACCTTAATTTGGAAGTGTCAAACCTTAAAGTTTTGCAAAATAATCTTGACCAAAATAGGCACTTTTCTCAGTCGATCGCCGTTCATGCGTCACTCTTTGGACTTTTTTTCTTTAGTTGAGACGACATGTCATTTTGTCTGCCAATAGCGAATTGTCGAAGTTACCTGTTTGGGATGCATTGATCACTCGGAATTCGAAATTTCCCAAATTTGGCATTTTCTGAGATTGAAAAGTGTGACCCCTGAGTGACCCCTGAATTTTTCAAAAGTGGCCGTAGCGCTTTGGGGGTTTAAGCTTTTTTGTAGCAAATTTTGCGATGAATGCGATCCTGCCGTTTTTGAGCGGGGTCAACCAAGCAGGTGGCCAGATGAATGCAAAAAAATAGCACAAATAGGAGATTTTTGGCATTTTCGAGTCCAAAAAAAATCGAGCGGGTCCGTTTGTCATGCACCCCGCCCCCTCCTGCCGGGCGGGCCTAACCTTGAGATGACAGCAGCCCTCTAAGACCATCGTCTTGCCCTTGCCTTGTGCGTGTCGAATGACGATGATCCTCCTTTTTTTGCTGCTTGCTTGCCCCGCGCGCGTACCTACTAGCAGACATGGTGACCCGAGGGAAATTTTGCTTCAGGTCATAAAGTTCAGGTCGAAAAAATAACGATTCAGGTTTCAGGTTCAAGCCTGAATCGCGATCAAGCAACCCGGGCAACCACCTTATAGCCGTTTTGATGAGCTGAAAAGTTCAGGTCCAACCTGAACATTACAAAATAATCAACCTGAAACCGACCTGAAACCGACCGAGATGCCTGAATTAATTCAGCAAGTCTTCAATTGTCAGGTCATTATTATTTCAGTTCAGTTCAGCTCTCATCAGGTCGTTTCAGGTCGTCATTCAGCTCAATGCAGGCGCTGGCTATTTCAGCTCGTCGGTTTTCAGCTCAATTCAGGTGCTGGCTATTTCAGCTCGTCGGTTTTCAGCTCATTTCAGGTGCGATTCATTTCAGGTCGTCGGTTTTCAGCTCATTTCAGGTGCGTTTCGTTTCAGGTCGTCGGTTTTCAGCTCATTTCACGATTTCAGCACCTGAATTGACCTGAAAACCGACGACCTGAAACGAAACGCACCTGAAATGAGCTGAAAACCGACGACCTGAAATGAATCGCACCTGAAATGAGCTGAAAACCGACGAGCTGAAATGAATCGCACCTGAAATGAGCTGAAAACCGACGACCTGAAATGAATCGCACTTGAATTGAGCTGAAAACCGACGACCTGAAATGAATCGCACCTGAAATGAGCTGAAAACCGACGACCTGAAACAATTTGTACCTGAATAGAGCTGAAATGACCTGATGCCCGAGAACCTGAAATAGTTGACCTGAAAGCTGAAGCCGACCTGCACGCTCTATCGTAAAAGTTGGGCTTTCAGGTTTAGGTCCTTCAGGTCGTACATTTCAGGCCCTTGAGCCTGAATTAAAATATAAATCAGGTCAGGTTTCAGTCTTTTGTTTTTTTTTCAGGTCGGGTTTCGGTCGAATTTCAGGCAGAATCTTTGTGACCTGAACCTGAATTTCCTCAGCATTTCAGGTCTTCATTTCAGCTCATCCGACCCGGGCACCATATTTGCCTACTACAACGAGCAAACTGCGGCGTGAGGTGATTTGTTGGAATGCGCCGGCACTGAAAGTTGGCAAAATTGACCGAAGTTGGCACCAAAGGTGCAGGAGGGGTGTACCGGTAGTTCTATGCATGCCGGGAAGTGACGTTGACTCGTTGAGAGTGTAATTTCGAAAATAAGGTGAGCCCTTTGATTTTCGCACAGAAGCAAGATACTGTAGTTGTGTACAGTACAGTAGTACTTGTCGTCGCCGTTGTCGCTCGGCGTGTGAGTCAGTGAGTGATTTAAAACTTGCCTCGGCAGTGACCACCAGTGAGTTGGGAGAGCGAGAGAGCACGATTTTGCATGAATGACGCGGGGTGTCGGTCGTTCAATTTTGCATTGTCGCATCAGTGTTACGAATGATGCAGACTGTGAGTGTACTGTAGAATGATCACGGCTAATGCTTGCTGCGCCAGCCTGAGCCGTAACATCGTCTTGAGTACTGGTATGCTGTGGCGCAGGTTTCATTGGCGCGAGAGCAGGCTGTAAAAAAAATTCTGGAGCACTGGAGGCATAGCTGGCCGGTAAAGTCCGAAAAATACGCTCTTTGGTTTTTAATAGGTACTGTAAATGTGTGCGTTTTTGTGCAATGTAGCGCGATGCCTTAGGCATTGAAATGATACTGTAGAATGTGTCCGTTTCTGTCTAGCGTCTACCACCGAGATCGAAACGTGGACGATCAAATGCTTTACGGTATTTGTGCACAACAACAAATAAAAATACAAAACAGATGACGTTCGTGATTTTGTACATTTTCTCAGGCACTTGCTGGAATGCTGACTGATATTTTTCACGCTTGTAGAAGCTCAAATTTGTGAATATGAACAGGCACGCAAAAAAAGTCGATCCAGCATCAGATTTGCCTAATTAAAACCGAAAGAGTGAGTTTCAGAGCCATTGCACACTAAGTCGCCGAGATCTCAAGCCAATGTTCGAAAACGCATGCGCTTTTACCGCGTTTGATCGCTGATTCATTTGAGGTGACTCACGCGCTGATACTTTAGGCCGTTGTCGCCTACGCTACCAGAATGGAAAGAATCTTACCACCATTTTGCAGGACGCGTTCTCCGGATCTTGTTCATCGGGTACTATATTCGAGCTAGAGGATGCTGAGCACAGAATTCCGACGATGGCAAGTTTTTTCAGAGATCGGATCAATTACCGTAGTCCTGAGAATATGCATTTCGCGTAAAATCAGGGCCAAATCTGGAACAAAAAGACCCCTCAAGGCCAACTCGCCGAGAATTCGACGCGATGTCCCAAAGCTACAAGCGCTTTTACCGCGTTTGGCCGCTCGTTCATTTGAGGTGACTTACGCGTCGAAGCGCTCAGCCGTTGCCGCCGTACAAGATCAAATGGTGACGATTAAGCCCCCTTTACGCCTATGAAACTGGCACTTCATAAGAAACTTGCTCATCTGGTCCCCAATTTGGACCAGTTGATGGCTGACCCAATTCTCCAACAGTGTTAATTTTTCTCGTGAATCGGATCGCTCAGTCTTGAGAAATCTTGAGATTCGTGTTTGCTAGTGAAAACCCAGCGCTAAAATAATGTTTTACGCGTTTCTCCCGATGAGCCTGACCATATGGCTCCAAATTTAGAGCACGGTATAGTCGGCTCAAGACTCCAATGATTCCAAGTTTTTTTCGCAAATCGTGTCACTCAGTCCCGAGGAATCTTGAAACTAGCGTTTGCAAGTGAAAACCAGAGCCAAAATATTACCTCGCGCGTTTTACTCGATGAATCACGGCCAAACGTGTCCACTTGTGTATATCATCACTTCTCTTCTCAAAAAAAAATTAAGAAGCCCGAGGGTGATCAGCCTGCTGTCGTTCGGCAGGTAATTAGGGCTGTAAATTTTATTCTGGAGGAACAGCGATCCTGCAAAGTTCGAAAAACACGCTTTGTCGCTTTCGAAAGTCAAATGTGCATATGTTTTGTATAGTGTAGTGCAGTGCACTCCTGCGGACCTGGAGTTGACAGCGCGCGACAGATTTTGTCCACTGAGAATAAAAATGAATGGAAAAAACGTAAAACACTATGGTAATGCGTTCAAGTCACCCTTTTTTTTTTTTCATTGGTATTTGGAGCTCAAGACGCAATGAAGACATGACAAGTAAAGCTTCAATGTTTCATGAAGCATATGCTGATCGCGTGCGTCCCCGAAAGTGGGACATCTGTCTATTGGTTATGCGCAAAAAGCAATCACGCGCAAATCGATCCTGTGCCACGGCAGTCGCAGCATTGTTTTGCTCAATCGCCTCTCTCGCCTTGTCCACCCATCTACTGGTGGCAAAAAGAAAAAAAAGAAAAAAAATGTCATGGGCCAAAAAAAACATTAAAAAAGGGCAAAAGTTGATGCCTCGATCAACTGCAAAACGTGGTTCAAGATGCACGACTGGCCGAAAAATAATGATATTTCCGACAGTGGGGTTCGAACCCACGCGTGCTTACGCACAACACGTCTTAAGCGTGTCGCCTTAAACCACTCGGCCATATCGGAGAACTTTGCGTGTCGCAAGACAGGTTTTCGAAATCACTTCCTCAAATGTTTTTGCAAAATTGAGAATTGGGCATTAAAATGGGATCCATCCGAAAGCCCTAGCTCTGGCGCATCGTTTGATGCCAAAAATGGGATGGATGGATGCGTGAGTAGAGATGGATGGATGTAAAAAGGCCAGCGGATGCACGCATTTGACCAATGGCAGGGCGTCGCACGAAAGCAAAGTCCGCCTGATCAGAGCAAATGACGGTTGCCAAATGGGGTACGCGCGAGGCAACGTACCTACCAGTACCAAGCAATTGTGTTGTTTCTTTTTCTTTTTCTTTTCTTTTTTTTTTTTTTTTTCGCGCTTTGGCCATTCCAAATGAACATTGCAAATGCCAAAAGTCGCTCGGAAAAGAGAGAAAGAGGGAGATGCAAGCATGTGCATACGCGGAGTCTTGCTTTCCTTGGCGTGCCGTGCAAGCAAGCTCCTCTTCTATCAATTAGTGTTGGACAGTGCATCTGCGCAGTGCAATGAAGGACAAAGGCACATAATGGCAGTGCACGAGCTCGTTGCCATCTTTCGATTCATCTCTAAATCCGAAAAAAAGACAAAAACGGCGCGCACTGAGCACGTATTGTGGAGAAGAAAAAAGCTATTTAAGACTTGGTGTTCAGGGTGACACGGCATGGGGTCTCGGGTGCACCCTGTTTTGTCTTCAAGTATGGAGGAATTGGGCAAGGTGGAGCGTGGGCAAAGGCAAGGTTGGCGAGAAAACGGAGTATGTATGCGCACGAGCGCTGCCGATGTAGATGAGAAAATGGGGGGAAGGGCTGCGAAAGGGTGAGATGGGGGGGGAGCAAAGTGTATCGTGCGTTCCCCACGAAGGATGAGGGCCGAGCATCAATCGAGGAAATAATTATCAATAGGAAATAGGCAATGCCAGCGCGGCGAGAAAAAAAAAATAAAGTTGGAAAGCGGTGATGTGTTCCAATCAAGGTTGTGTCACCCAAAGTTGGCCCTCAATTGGGGAAGCCGGGCCCTTGCAAAAAAAAAAAAAAGAATTTGGGCGCGCTTTCTTGGAACTTGCATCGAGATCAGCAAATCAATCTCACTGGTGCAAATGAAATTAGGGGCCGGCCAAAAAAGGAGCCCGCCCCGCGCTCTATTTTTTCATGTACCTGAACAAAAGACCGCTTCATTTCGTTGCAGCAAGCGCTTAAATGTTGCACATTTGCATATTTGCATTCTTTTTTTTTTCGGCCTTTGCTTTGTATCCATCCGTGCAACGCCAGTGGCTGTGACAAGCATAAATGAATCGATCGAACTCTGTGCGATTTTAGGATCTTGAAAGCAGCTAGTGCACAGTTGCACCCGCCCATGTGAGTCTTATTGAGGCACGCGGAGAACAAAGCTTGCTGAACCTTAAAAAAACTGCAAGCAACACGGCCCAATTCACCCAGCACTGTCTATTTTTTTCATTCAAAGCATTGGATCTTAAGGTTGCTGTTCTTTTTTTTCATTGTTTTTCCCTTTTTCTTTTTCATCCGAGCCTTTTTGCTCAATTCACTATTATACCATGACACATCTCAGGTACAAATCCCTTTACCAGTGCTGTGGGACGCATAGAATAATGGCATTGATTTCCTTTTTTTTTTTTCTTTCTCTCCACAACCTTAGCGACTTTTCATACCTTGGTAAGCGACACTGCGCAGCGCACGACTACGACTGAGCGACCGATCTCATTTTTCCCATTTTTTTTTCTTCAACGTGCAGAGAGAACATTCACGTATGTTTACCTTGGGGCATACCTTCTTTATTCGCTTGCGAAATACGATCGATTCCAGTCGCTGAGACCGTCCAAGATTTTCACGGGCGAATTGAAAAGCATCCTCACACTACTATTGATGCTAATGACACTAATACAGGCAACAGCAGGTAAAAAAAGGATCGCAATGCACGACTGAGACGGTGGAATGAGCGGAAACCGCGGGCCATGTGGATGAAATCGGGCCTAAACCTGAGCGATTTCGTGCGATTGACACGTTTTCTCTTCCATCCTTGATTTCCCTGCAGATGTGACTGGTGTTGTCATCAAGTACAATGAGGGCTTTAGCGCGCCCTATGGTCCTACGGGCCCCGTCATGTCGACGCCATATGTGATGTGGCGACCAGACTTCAAAATCTTGAGCAGTGTATGCGTTTCTAATCCCCCCTCTTGAGCTGGCCAATCCGTGGCCGAGACACGTGCGAGTCGCTCACAGCCACCGTTTCTGTAGGATATTGATTACGTGCAATGCATCGCTTTTTCGATCGAAACCGGTCTCTTTTTCCTCGTGCAATGCTTTTGGAACTATATCAGCAATTCCATTGTCAAGCGCAGCTTCATGAGCTCCTGGGAATTCCGTTTCACTGTGGTCTGGTAAGAGGGAGGCGAGCCAAGTGCCAGGGACAAAAAAAATAAAAGGGTTGACATTGACTTTTTTTTTTTTTTTTTTTTTTTTTTTGCAGGGCTCTTTGCAGCATGGCCATGTTCCCCATTCTCCAATGGTATTATCGCGACAACCAGCTGCAGCGTGAAGTGGTGCCTCAGCTTGCCTACAGCATTGAGAGTGAGTGCCATTGGAATCGCGTAAATCATGGGGACTCATCTTTGTCTTTCCTTTTTACAGCCATTTTCACCGCGATCTTGGGTATTCGCAACAACCGCCGCTTTGCGCGCCTGATTCGCACGGTGCAAAAGAAGAACGCGTCGTCGTCCGTGATTGCCAAGCTGCGCTATTTCAAGGTGATGAACAATTTCATCTGCCTCGTGCTCTTTTCGTACGGCTCGTCGTTTTTGATTTTGTGCGTCGACGGTCTCACGTCCAAGACCATTGCCGCCAACAAGTTTGCATCGGACGTTGTCATCTCCAATGCCAACATTTGTGTCGTCTTTTACTATTTGCTCTTTGTAAGCACGCGCAACTCAAAAAAAAAGAAAAAAAGAAAAGAGACTGACGCGTCGGTTTTTTTTTTCGTTTTTCCAATGCCAGATCATGACGTTCCACCCGCGTCGTCAATTCAACACAAACACGATGAACGAGAACTCGACGTTCAAGCCGTCATCCAATGGCGTCGACGACGTGGAAATGAACCAGAGCCGATTTAGCCAGCGCGTGAACAATTTTATTGACCATCGCAACCAGCCATCCACGGACAAGACGTCCAGGGCCACAGACCCGGTGTTTGTGCGGCCCATGACACCAGAGGATGAGCGCCACGAGGAAGTGCACGCGTACTCGCCACCACCACCCGTGTCCCCGCCTCCTCTTCGCCAGCATCCGCGCGAAATTGCCATCCACGATCCTTATTCTGCGCAGCCCGTCACCTTTTCAGTCATCAACCCACACGAGACCCAGCGCTACGGCTACCAATAGGTTTTGGCGCGGCGCACTGTCCATTTTACACTCTATTTTTGTCGATTCTCTATTTTTTTTTCTCAAAGCACACTTTTCATCTCCAGCCCTTCCCCCCTCCCACACGCACACATGTAATAAAATGCTTAATGACTACATCATCGAATTCGCATTTATTGTGCCCCGCGAAACAAAAGGGACAAGAGCCAGAAAAAAAAATGACGTGTTGCACCAAGGCCGAGAATCAGGAGGAGCACACCTAGGGGGCCAAAAGGTCCAGGCCAGCCCGTAATAGGATCATCTCGTGTCACAAACAAAGAAATTGAGAATTTCTGTCTTTCTTGCTTTATTCGGGTGCAAGGTGTCAAAAAAAAAGGACAGACAGTAAAGGTATGGGCTTTATGGCGGTAAATAAGACCATCAAATTGGCGCGAGGTAAAGAAAGAGGCAATTGGGGGAACGGGGAACAAAAGGGGGATGGGAAAAAGGGGAAAAACAAAGAAAAGTAAAACAGGACCAGAGGGCAATGCGTGTAAATGACTTGCAGAAAAGAAAAAGAAAAAAAAGAAAAAAAAAACCTGTCTAATTCAAAGCGGCCGCGACGGTCAAGACAAGGATGGCGGCGACAATGGCCGACGACGAGGCGATGGTGGTGGAGGCGCTGCTGGTGGAGGGCTGGCTGGAGGGGGCGGACGACGACGAGACCGAGGCGGAGGCGGAGGAGGCGGTGGGAAGTGTGGTCAATGTGACGGCGCCGTTGCTGACGGTGCCGTAGCAATAGTTGCGCGAGCCATCGACGCAGAGGACGCCGGACGAGCTGCAAAGGCAGCTGGCAGTGCCATTGAAGGAGCCAGAGCACGACGAAGGGATCGAAGGACAACCCGTGCTCTGGGTCAGCGACGACGAGCCCCAGCAGTAGCCCTTGCCTTGCTGGGGTTGGCACACCGTCACAACGTCGTTGCAACGACACGTAACAGCCACGTTCAGGTTCTTGCACACGTCAGGCACACCGCACGACGTGCCCGAAAGCGTATCAAACGGCAATTTGCTAATGTCGCGCTTACCAAGCAGGCTGAATCCTTGCTCCTCGAATGCGTGCGTCACAGCGACAAGAAGCGCAATGAGCAGAAACAGCGTGCGGGGCATGGTCGACGATTTCATCATGAGAAATTGAGAAACAAAAAAAAAAAAAAGAGAGAAGACAAAAAGAAAAAGCAAAAAAGAAACCTGGACGGGCTTCGTTCCTAGCTAATTGATTTGCAATTGAGCACCGGCCTCGTTTTTTTTTTTCTTTTCATTATCGAATTGAATGTCCGCGGGCTCTTGGTTTTCCTTGATCTTTTGTATTTTTTTTTGTCCATCTCGCGAAAAAAGGGGGGCAAACTGGCCGTGTGTCACCTTCGACCCATAATGACGCGTGTGGTCACACAAGGCGACAAAAATGGCCAATCACCTAAGCTTTTTTCGCATCTGTGCCCAACAGCATTTTCATTGCTTGCGCACATTGACCATGCCCTTGGATTTGCGGTTTTCTTTCTCTTTGTCCCTTTTTTTTTTCTCCCACTCTTTGATCACTACCCCCTCCCTTCCTTTATCCCCCTGGACCTCATCACTCTTTT